TTTAAAATTTGATTTTAGCATTAATGAAATTAACTAGCGCGTCTTCTTTTTTTAATACCCACTTTTCTTACGTCGTTAGGGTTATACAGAGACGGTTAATGTAGTGCGATATATTTATTTTTCTATTTTTTATTAGTTTTTCATATTGATTAAATATTTATAAAGGTAGACTTGTATTTTTTTTTTTATAATTTTAAAACTTAATTTACTTTAGTAAAGTTAATTAATGAGTAAATTTTTTGATTCTTATTTTAAAATATATTTTTAAATAATATTTTTATAAAAAAATTAATAATATAAAATGTTTTAATATAATAAAAAAAATTTATTCCTTTCTCATTGATAACAATAGTCATTAGGTATGCATCTAGTGGGTTTGTTGGAGGGGAAGGACGATGATAGGTCGATTCAAACGGGTAGCTAGTACTTGTATATAGATTTTTAATTTTTATTTTTTTGTATCTTGTATAAATTTAATAAAGTTACTGGCAGTGCCACATCGTTAAAAAAAAAAAAAATAATAATAATAATTTAAATAAAGTTTTGTTAAAATATTATTTTTAATTAAATATAAATTATAAAATAATATTGGCTATTTGTACACGGGTGTATGTACATGTGTCTCGTGACATTACCGACATTAACAACTACCCAACACTTTTTTCACTCCCACGTGACCAAATTTGCTGAACTTTCCTAAAAATAAAGATAAAACCTGATGCAAATTTTATATCTTTTAAACTTATATATTATACGTATTTTTATCGTAAAGAATTAGATATAAACGTTTAGTTTCGAGATTAGATAACGTCTGTGATAAGTTTTATTTAACAAAACAAAAAAAATTTTTTCGTTAAAAATTTTGATTACCATTTTTAGAAATGATCTGCATACGTGGTCACGTGACAGTGAATTTTTTGTTGGTTATGTTGGGAAATTGACATTAACATTATTTTTCGCTAGCATTAAGAAATTAAGAAATTAGTCATGTAATAGATAAGAATAACAAATAATAATTTTTCACCAAGATTTTTGAAATAAATAGTAAAAACTAAAGGTAGAGAGGAATGATACTAATGATAAATAAATTTGTTACATAATCTGAATACATACACTTAGAAATTTTCTTTTAATAATATTAACATAAAAAAATAATATTTTTATAATCAAACATTTAACTGTATTTTAATTTGTATAATTATAAATTTTTATTTAATTATAATATTTAATAAAAAATTTTTTGAAAAATTTTATTTAACTTGACTTATTAAAAATTTTATTTATAATTAAATTATAATATATTTTAAGTAAAAATCAAAAAAAAAAAGGTTAATAAAAGTTTTAAGTTAAAAATCAATAAAAATTTATTAAAATTGTTAAAGGTATAAATTTAGAATTTTTAGTTAAATCAACTTATAAATTAAAATTTTTAATTTTAAAATTCTAAATAATATACAAAAATATTTTTTGATATATAATCTAATTTCTAATAGTATAAAATTTTTAATTTTATAAAAATAATTCTTTAAAATTATAAACTTTTATTATATTATAAATTTGTAAAAATAATTAATAAAACATTATTACTATATAATATATTATAAAAATTAAATACTATAATGGCTATCATTTATAAACAAATATTATCATGTAACTTTAGAATTTTATAAATTAAAAATATAATAATAAAATATCAATTTAAACTGATAAAATAATAAAACAATATAAGCTGAACATATTTATCAGCTTATTTTATTAAAGATGTTAATAAATTTAAATTTATTTTAGTTTAAAATTTAGGAATTTTTATATAACATATATAGTAAAAAGGGAAGTTTTAGACTAAAGATCAGCAATTAATATGTGAAATTTATTTATATTTTTATATAAATATTAAGGTATTTTCTTTTTTCTCACACTTTGACCTTTCATCAATAATGTCTCAATCATCAAAAAAATTAAGGTTAAAGAACAAGAAAGAGATAATAATGAAAAGTTTGTAAAGAAACTATAGGTTATAGATGATTGAAGAGATGATGATGATAGCTAATGAGATAATGAAATAGATATGTTAGATGAAAAAGAAAAATATGAGTTAGTTTGATCAGATAATGCATACTTGAAATAAAAAAAATGTGGATCTTATCTTATAAGAAAAATTAAAAAATCAACATATTTTGATAAATATAGACCCAGTAGTTACTTTACAAAAGCTGCAAAAGGGAATTGCAAGAATAATAACATTTATAAATAAAAATTCATTAACTTAAGAAGACTTTGATAAAATTTTGGATGATATTGAAGAAAAGGATCAAATCAATCTGATCTAAATAAAAAATTGAAAATCTAAAAATTGAACTTAAAAAACAACAAAATTTTTTGGGTATCACTGAATATAATAAAAAAAAAATAATTTTTGAATATTTAAAAAGATTAAGTAATAATGATTAAAAAAGAAAAATAAAAGCTATTGTAAAGATTACACAAGCAATTTTTATTGAAAATACATGTAAAATAAGAATTATTCATTATTAGACAAAATATTGACCCTAATATTCATTTCTAATTAACTGTTTAGTTAAATATCAATAGACAATACAATTAATAGATGATTAAGATATTGTAGAATAATGTTATGTTTAAATTTAATATCAAGAGAAGCAACTACTTCGTATAAATTTAAGAAGTTTGTTGATCAAAAATTATTTATTAATTTAAAAAAAACTATTATTATAGCAACTGCAACACGTTAGTTAAATATATTTAGTTATTTTTTTCAATCCCAAAAATAAGGTAATTAAAATTTCTTTTTTTTATTAATATATTTAACTTAAAATTAATATATTGCTTATTATATATTGATAGGTATGGTCATGAGTATTCCAATATTATAAAATACTGAAAATTATTTTTAAATAAAATTTATGGTTATGAAAAGTTTATGACAAAATATGAAGGCAAAAATATGGAATAGATTTCACTAACATTAGGACCTAATGGTAAAGAAATAGTTTTTATAACACATGATAAATATGTATTCTACTCTAATAATGGAAAATAAGAAGTATAGCAAAGTCTGGAGAATTGTCATTGCGTAAAAAGAAAAATAGTTGTTCTATTATAATTAGTGAGTTTTTATCAGAGGAATGTGATTGACTCAAGTTAAATACACAACAAATACAAGAAAATCCTTCTATATCTGAAGAATTACACATTTATCTCCAACTAAATAAAGACTGAAAAGGTTTTTAGACAAGTGAATATTTAATAGAATAAGTTAAAATAAAGACTATTTCTATTTTTGAAACACTTTTTTCTAACTGTATTGCATTATAGTCAACGATCAAAATTATATAGACATTTTTAAAATCAAAAAAATTATATACATATGATATAATAAAAATAAAATTTTGATAAATATAAATTCAATATATCTTTAGTTATTGATTTATAAAAAAATTAAAAAAAATTTAATAATTAATCCTATTTTCATTTATGGCAATAACTGCTGTAATTCATCATAATATACTGTTGATTATTTTTTGTAATATTTCAAAGGAATATCTTTCTATACATCCTTTATATACTTTTTAAATACTTTAATACTACTCTAAAGTTTCTACATTAACATTTCCTTCTTGACAAATGAACTGGAAGTTTTCATTAAGTTTTCTATAATGCTTTTGATGTTTTTGATTCTTATCCTTTTTCTGAAACAAGTTTTTTCTTAAGCATTTGCATTTAAGAAAAAATTTAGCAGTTTGATCTAAGGAAGTTGATAGTTGATTTTTCTAAAGCTAAAATTTTCTTTTAAAGATCTTCTTAAGTTTGACCTTTCTTTTGAATTTTTTGACAGAACCTTAGTTTGATGAAAAATAAAAAGGATAAAAGTATTAGTCATTACTGCAGTCAACTAAATAAGGTTGAATAAATCGTTACACTTTACTAGAAAACAGCATGGGTTATGTATATTCTAATTATAAAATAATTTTAATCTATAAATATAATATAAAAGAAATTATTTAAAAATTATATATTTTAATTTATTATTAAAAAATATATATATTATTTAAAATGATTATACATTTATTAAATAGTAAAAATTTTAGTTTTAATATTTAAAAATTTAAACGATTTATAATTTTTGTTAAAAATAATAATTAAATTTTATATTAAATTTATTGATATTTTTATTATTAAAAATATAATAAATATCTTTTAATTATCATATAATTTTAATTAATATATAATTTTTTTAAGAAAAGCAAATTATTTATATAATAATAGATTATTTACTTTACTTATTTTGTAGAATTTTATATATTTTCAGAAAAAGTCTAAAAAAGGGTAAAATTGTTTCTATAAATATTGCAAACTTAAAAGCTATTATTTAATTTAAATAACTAAAGTATATAAGATTTTATCAATAGAAATGCATTATATAATATTATAACAAGTAAATGTAAATTTATTATATATTAAAATGTTAAAAATATTATATCAAAATATCAGAATAATTTTTTAATAAATTCATTCAAAAATTTTTTTTATTCGAACTTGATGAAATTCTACGTATACGCTATGAAAATATGTAAAATAAAGTACAGAAAAAAAATATATATAATGGCTGTTAATTTAAAACAAAATTATTATATCTACCAAAAAAAAAAAAAAAAACTTTGAAATTTGAAATTTTCGAATTTAAATATTCAAAGCTTAGCTGAGTTCAATTTTGAATCATCTAGAAGAGGAAATCCCACCAAATCTTCTAATACTCTTATCGCATCTTTAGATTTACCTAATTCAACTTCTAAAATTTCAAAATCCAAGTTAATAATATATTATGAATTTTGTCAAAGGATTATAAAGAGTTAAAAAAAAAAAAAAAAAGGTTATACTTATGGTTCTCATCCCTAAATTCCTCGCGGCTTTTAAGTTTCTTTAAGTATAATCGAATGAATAAACGCGTTAAAGAAATAAAGAAAAATTTTAAACTTATATTAATTTTCTACATACATTCCAATATCATCAAGAAATACGGCCTCATTGGGTTGAATTCCTAACTTTTCACAGGTATATAAAAAGATTTTTGGGTCAGGTTTGCGTAACCCAACGACACTTGATTCAATATTTTCATCAAATAAATCCTTAAGTTCCATTGGAAGCATTCCTCCTAGTAATTCGATTTCTTTATGGTCTTGAGTTGGTAACTGGTAATTATTGGTTAAAGCAACGATTTTGAATTTATTACTTGCACGAAGCCTTTTAAGAGCGTTAAACACAATAGGGTTAATTATTGTAGCTTCTGACATCATTGTTCGAAATAATTCTTTGCCATCAATTATAATTTGATCAGGAAGAGATGGTATAGTTGAACCTTATTAAACGAAAAGATCTTTGTTATCTTACAGATTTTAGGAAACTTGCAATGACAATCGCGTAAACGAGAGTAAGTACCTTTACTTCCGCGCGACCGTAAGTATTGATAATAGTATTCTTTATTTACAGGATCCGATAATTCTTTACCAAATATTTCATAGAAATCTGGAATGAAAAGTTCACCACGTTCTAACCGCTATAAATTTTTAACGTAAGAAAGGTATTGATATTAAAAATTCGATTTAAAATGCCGAGATATCGCAGGTTTATATGATTAAAAAGCATCCGATTAAAATTATATCAGAAAAGAAATATTTTAATAAAAATTTAATTACTTGAAATGCTCCATTTTCTCCACCATTTACGCTTTAATCATTTAGAAATGAATTTAGTTTAGTTGAAAACTTGGATTTAAAATATAAAATAATATTTTTACATTGCTATATTAATGTAATTCTCCGGTAAACCATATTTTTTTTCATATTCAGAGATCCCTTGAAAAGGTGAACCAACGCATACTCCACCCAGATCAAATATTATTGCCTTATATGACATTTTTTTTTGTTAAAAAAACCCTCGTTAATCTTGTTGGAAAGTTATAAACATTTATTTTGGTAGATCTAACAATCGAATCGATTAAAGATAAGGAACACCAAATTGCATAATGTTAGCGGTTAATTAAATTTGGTTAATTAACGCCCATCCCAGTAATTAATTTTCACGAAATTTGACATTCGGTAATCACAGAAAACGAATTTATTTTATAAATTAATCTAGTATTTTTATTGGGCGTATAATGCTCTCCGGATATGAAAGAGGTGATTTGGAAGAACGAGAAAAGTTTTCTTGAAAGTAAACTTTATTTTGTGAATTTAGCAATAATTTTTGTTAATTTGTCAACCATTTTAGAGTTTGTTGGGTTGATCACTTGATACGCGTGAGAGGTTCATTGAATTGTATAAAATGTGAGTCACAATTGGTTGATGAAAATAGGAAATACGACGCGAATAGGATTTTTTTTTTTTTATATATATATAAAAATTTAAATTTCGATTTGAATATCAATATTAACAAAAAATGAACTATACCCGAGATTCTGAAATATTTGCTAAAAATTTGTCTCTTTCCAAAGTTAATAAAGATAGAAATGAAGATTTACTTTCAACGTCCTCTCGTTCTCAGTCACCTTTACGTACAGAAACTCCCGTTGATATGGATGGTTTAAGTTGGCCAAGTAAGTTTATAATGTAAAATTAGCACTTCTTGTAGTATAGTGATCAAAAATTTTTTTAATGGGATTTTAGGTATAGGTACAAAACAACGTTTAAACGAAACCACCGAACAAAAAAATGAACGTATAAATAAATTATCTGAAGCGGTCAAGACTATTTTAGAATGTATCGGTGAAGATGCAGAACGTGAAGGTTTACAAAGAACTCCTCATAGATATGCGCAAGCATTGATGTTTTTCTCTAAGGGATATGAAGAAAGCATTGAACGTATGATACATATATTTTTGGTTTCTTAGTATGAGAAAATGTAAATTTAAACGTAATTTTTTTTTTTTTTTATAGAGATTGTCAATGATGCTATATTTGAAGAAGGTAAATGGCTCGATTTTTTTTTTTTACATGCTAGAATACTGTATTAGACTTGTTTTGAAACTAAACGGTAGATCACGACGAGATGGTTATTGTAAAAAATATCGAAGTATTTTCTCTCTGTGAACATCATTTGGTTCCATTTACCGGAAAGGTATCGTTTCCTCGTTAAATTATTAATAATTTTTACAAAATTTTAATAACTCATATAATATCTTTACGAATTAATAGATCAGTATTGGATACATTCCAAATCGACGCGTTATCGGATTATCTAAAATAGCTCGTATTGCAGAAATGTTTTCAAGAAGACTTCAAGTTCAAGAACGTTTGACAAAACAAATCGCAATAGCTTTACAAGAAATACTTAAGCCTCAAGGTGTTGCTGTTGTAATGGATGCAAGTCATTTGTGTATGTCAATGCGTGGAGTTCAAAAACCCGGCAGTTCAACTGTGACAAGCGTAATGCTGGGCGTATTTAGGGAACAGGCCAAAACTAGAGAAGAATTTTTAACTTTAATACGAAATTAATAATGCCGAACTATTTATTTCTCCTTAGATTAATTATTTTTTTTTCCTTTAAATTAATTTTTTTGTTTTTAATTTCCCCCCACTACCTAATAATACATTAAATAATCTTTAAAAATATTTGTTCAATAGATTTCTGCATTATTGCTGTAATATAATATTTAATAAAGATTCCACACGCGGGATGTTAATGTAACCATACCATACAAGTTAAGAGATAGGAAATTTTATTATTACTTTATATAACCTTTTTTTTTTTTTTTTTATTTGATTAACGTTTTGTTCACCATCGTACGAAAGAAGTTCTACAATAACTAGAGAATAAATTTTAACTATAAAGTCAATTTAGGTCCAAAAATAAAGATTCTTTAATTACAGGATTGTTTTAAAAGTCATCTATTTGAATTAGGTAAAAGATTTATGAGACTATGAAGCTGAAACAAAGAAACCAAAGAGAGAATTCTTAAAATCGGTAAAAGTTTTTATATGTCATAAGATAATGTTTGATAAAAGTTACCTCTTTCTTTGTTATCTCTTTCACGATTCTTTGTGATATTACGATCAAAATCTCTACTCTTTTCTTCATTTTTTTCCCAATATTTGTTATTTTTCTCACGTGTAGCATGACGTTCATAAGGTTCTTTAGTCGCATCACCGCTATTGCTATTACGATCTGTGCTGATATCATGGTATTTATCGTCATTAGAATTCATATTCCTCGATTTTTCGTTGCGGATACGATCACGAGTACGATCTGTGCTACTGTTATTATTTGCATTGGGTGTAGTGCTGACGATAGTACTATTGCTATGATTATCCGCATCCACGTCCTTTGGTTTATCGTGAATAATTTCGTCCCAAAGTTTTCGTCTCTCACGACCACGACCACGTTCACGTTCATAACCTCCACCAGCATTGTCATTGGAATGATTTTGACCTCTTTTTCCCTCTTTATTCCCTTTATCTGCATTTATATCCCAATTTCTTGCTTTGGGAGGACGTTCTCGTTCGTATGATGACTCATTAACCGTTGAAACCACGCCAGTAAAACCATTATCTTCATACGAAGATTTTAAGTTGATAGGACTTGGTGGTATTGCAGGAGGATTGTAATGATCAAATCCAGGAGAGTGTAATTCATTATAATGAGGCGCATTATAATGTATGGAATTTCTACGTGCGTCAAATTCATTCTCACGAATCGAATCATAGCGAGGCGGACGATCCCGTTCATATCGACGTTCATACGTAGGATTCGATACACGTCTAGAATTAGGTGAAAGTGAACGCCTATTATGTGAATAACGAGCTCGAGGAGATAATGACCTTCTAGGATAAATGGATTGTTGATAAAAATAATCGTTAGGTCGTTTCAAGTTGTCTCTATAATGAAAGTGACCAGGAGGTGGTGGTGACGCACGATGATAATAAGGGTCCCAATCAAAATCACGATAACGAGGATACTCTCGTTCTCTAAAATCCGGTTCGCGATGGTAATCAAAATAAGGAGCTCGTATTCTATCCGCTTCCCTACCATACTCATAATATGGAACTCGAAAGCGCGGGTGGGGTTCTTCATAATATCTCGTCGGATTATCACGTGGCCGTACTACATCTCGTTCACGTATTTCATGTTCACGTTCTACCCTTAAGCCCCTTTCCCTTTCATATCTTTCCTTTCGATCCATTATTTCGTAATCTCTCTCTCTCTCTGGTCCACGGTTTCTATTATCTTTGATTTGTATTCTATCAAACAAATGCATTCGTTCATGATTAAAATCCCGATTCCTATAACGCATTCGATTCTTTTTTCGATCATCAGTAAAATAATCTTTTCGAGGCATTCTATTATTTGAATGCCATGAAGAAGGAGGGGGAATTTCGGGTTCATAAATAGGTGTCCTGGGTCTATGATGATGTAAGGATGTTTTTAAATCGGCAATGGCAGCTGGACGGTTTGGAGTTGACACCAAATCAGGATGAGGTGGTGCTGGCGGTGGTGGAGTTGCGCCCATTTGTAACTCCTCTGATGGTTGTGAGTAATACGAATCACTACGATCACTATTGGATCGTATTCTCTTGCGATTGTAATTTTTGCTCCCGTTCTTATGTTTTTCAGAATATCTGGAATTCCGTTCAAATGAGTCTTGAATATTTCTTTCTATTGGATCGGATTCATACGAAAGGGACTGTTCATTTTGATCAGCTATTTCGTTTTGTTTTTCTTCCTGTAATTGCGTCGTGTTTTCTTCTCTCGTTCGCTGATAATTATGATCGCGTTCAAATTCACGATCATCGTTAGAAGAATGTGCCGGTTCCTCTTCTTTTGGGGAGGTGGGTTGTAATGTTTGTTGTTCAACAGAAAGGATTTCTTTTCTATCGTCGACATTAATTTCTTCCATTCTGTATATTTCTTGTGCTTTCATAATCTTCGAGTGTATAAAGGTATTTCAAGTTTAAAAGTCCGTCTCCTAACTTTTTTGGATCCTATTGGTGGAATCCTGCAGTGTAACAATGAAAATCTAAGATTATCCCACATAAAGAAGGCAAAATTTGTGCAACTTCATTTCAATTACGAATAAAGTAAAAAAAAAAAAACCATGGTTCACATTAATAACGAAGACGTGAATAATAATGAGGTCAATCGATCAAGACGGTTTCATTTTGGAATACTAGGTAGGAAATCCTTCCTCGTTGAAACAGTTTAAACCGTGAACTTCATTTATATACGTTTTTCCTTTTTTTTTTTCACAGCTCTCCAAGGGGCCTTTCAAGAACACATACACATGTTACAAAACATTCCACAAGTTTCTTCCGCTATACCGATACGTAAAGTAGAACAATTAGCAACGATTGATGCTTTAATAATACCCGGTGGTGAATCTACCACAATGGCTTTAATAGCCGAACGTAGTGGGTTGATGGAACCCCTTCGTGAATTCGTTCGTAGTGGAAAACCTACTTGGGGTACTTGTGCTGGTATGATCTTGTTGGCTAATGAAGCTAATAAAACTAAAAAAGGTGGTCAGAGTTTGATCGGTGGATTAGATATCACGGTTAATCGAAATCAATTCGGTAGTCAAGTAAGTCATTCATTCAAAAGAAAAAAAATGATTTCAAAATTTGATTTTTCAAAGAATAATTCTCTCCCTCTTTTTAGATCGATTCATTTGAATCAGCATTACGTATCGAAAACGTTACAACTTCATCGGATCATTTATTTCCTGCCGTATTTATTCGTGCACCAATTATTTCTTCAATTAATTCTCCTGATATAGAAGTGCTTGCACGATTAGAACATAATGTCGGTGAAACTGATACTTCAGCGATTGTAGCTGTCAAACAAGATAATCTTTTGGCTACAGCTTTTCATCCTGAATTGACGAATGATGACCGTTTACATAAATATTTTGTACAACTCACTCAAGATTATTATTACACCGGAAAGAAAGAAAAATAGGGAAATATAATAATTACTATTATAATTTATTATTACTTGCTTAATTATATTTAGATAATTTTTTTTTTCAATAATTAATATGATGCGATTTGTCAATTCAATTCGCACTATTCTTGTAATTTTAATTTAAAAACTTGCAGAATAAAAAAAAAAAAAGTTCATTTTCCTTTTACGAGTTTTTTTTAAAAAAGTTCATTCACTCGTTATAGTTCATTTCACACTAAATGTTTTTATACATTATTGATTCCCTTCACTAAATTTGTCGTCAATTAAGAAATATACACTTTCTTCAATTGACTAAAATCATAAACATCTTCCGTCCTTGGACACTTTATTTGTCCACTTTTATTATACATATCTTGCAACGCCTTTGGAAGAGAGAGAGAGAGACAAATCAATTAAAGAAAGATCGACAACATTATATCAAATATTAATGTTAATTTTTTTACCTTAAGTGAATAAACATATCCATTGGGTAAAGACATGGGAGGATTATCCTCATCTATGATTTCTCCACTTAATCGACAAACAATGGTTGAATTTACGTGATGACTTAATGGAAGATTTTGTGCCAATAAACCTAAAGTGTCTGGAGAACACACGGGACAATTAATATTTTTATTATCTGGTTGACAACACATGGGTGTTTTAAGTGCAGACAATCCAGCTTGAAGGGTGACAGTTAAGAGAGGCTGTGATGTTAGGGAGTTCAATGCAAAGTTATCGGCGCGAAATTGTGAAATAAGTGCATCCCAACGAGACGCGTCATATAATTTCTACGTTTAAGAAGATTTTTTTAAAGATGAGTCAATTAATGTGTACATATAATTTGCACTTGAATATATTTTTTTTTTTTAAAAAGAAAAAAGAAAAGAAAAGAACCTTATAAGGTAGACATTTTGTGCCAGGTTGAAACGCGAGCAGAGTCATTGCTCGTTGAATTTCCTTCAGATGCAGTTCTTGGAAGGAGTTTAAATACTTCTTAGCATAAAGGATCGCTTCCCCTCTTTTACCGGCACGAACTAGCTCGATAAATTCTTGAAGGCGAAGATTAAATTCAAACGTACTCTATTACATAATTATATATATTCGAACAAATTTATTTGAAATACCGTAAATAGAACGCTCCGTGTAAAAAAAAAAAAGGGGGAGGGGGATCTTACCTGCATCTTGCGTAAATTTGATTTATTATCATTACACCATCGAAGAGCTTCATTACAACTAAATCGTTGCAAAGCTTGTTCAACACGTCTTGCTTGTGAAAACAATTCAACATCAACAAATGCCTGATGATGGATTCGACAATTTAAAAATTAATAAATTTATAATTGTGAGATCACGAGTAAATATTGTTAAATAATGAAAGTAACAACCTCTACCTCAATTGATTCAGCGTTTGCCAAGTGTGTAGCAGTTTCACTGAATCCTTCTCTTAACATGTAATCCACAAGGATGCGATCTAACCTTACTTTGCTCCAAATCGTGTACTCCTCAGAATTCGCACTTTGAATATGAGTTAATTCATTAAGATGAGAAAGTCGTTGTTTACTCCTCGATACATACATCGCCTCCTCAACTTTAGCATCGTTGAGCTGAATTAAAGATCCGGGAAATGTTTTTATGCCAAAATTCACTAATTGTTTAAATCAAAGTAAACGAACAAAATGATTAAATAAACAATTGCCTTGCGCTTTAGACTTTGTAATCTTCCAACCATTCCTTCAAGCGCAAAATTCGCGTCCGATACAAGAATTTGTTCTTGATTCGACTTGTTCGCTAATTCACTGACCGTCAAACTAGCTTTTGCAAACTCTCTATCAAGTTCCTTGTGAGAACCTTTTGCGGTCTTTTTAAGTTGCTCTAAAGGAACCTACATAAACAGCAAACGTAAGGATAAAAAAACACTTCATTCGTAAATGCGTCTTTTTTAATTTAAATTTATTCACCTTTATAAAAGGTTGTTCCAATACCAATAAGCCGTTGTGATTTAACTTATTCATTATTTCGTTTAATTAATAATCATAAACGAATTTTTTTTTTTTTTTTAACCTACGAACCTCTTGAACATAAATTGACCCGAAAAAAACAGTTTTTTTAAAAAAATTTTTTTTTTTTTTTTATTATTGTTATCAAATGTGGCGGGAATTTATCTGCATGAAATCATGTTGTTTCACAACCCCTAATTGACAAGGGTTAATTAAACACATTTTTTAAATTTATAATTTTAATTAATCGGTTCCTCCCTATATTTGTTTCTTTCTTTCTTTTAAAAGAATTTCTACTTTCATTATGAACTTTTTAGGATTGTGAGTACTTATTCACTTGTAAAATATACGCGGTTGCACTCTTTAATTCGTTTAAATTTTTCTCTTGTATCGAATAGAAGCAAGAATAAAACGTTCAAGCCAAAAAAGAACGTACCAGAAGGTACAAAGCAACAACAACTTCAAAAGTACGCAGAAGCTACGCTTGGGTCGGGTGACTTGAAACTGGCAGTGGTCTTACCAGAAGGCGAAAACATTAACGAATGGTATGCCGTGAATAGTAAGTACATGAATAAAGTATTAGCGTTTGACCAAAATGATTTTAATAATCTTATGATGCATTTTTTTTTTAATTTGTAGCGTATGACTTTTTCAATCAAATCAACATGCTTTATGGTACAATTACGGAATTTTGCACGCCCCAAGAATGTCCGGTAATGTCGGCTGGACCACAATTTGAATATTATTGGTCGGATGGATTTAAGAAACCGACTAAATTATCAGCACCAGATTATGTTGACAATTTAATGGAATGGGTGCAACATCAATTAGATGATGAAACATTGTTTCCAAGCAAAATCGGGGTCCCTTTTCCAAGGAATTTTCCACAAGTAGTTAAAACGATATTCAAACGATTATTTCGGGTGTATGCACATATTTATTTATCACATTTCCGAGTTATAGTTGCATTAGGAGAGGAGGCTCATTTAAATACTAGCTTTAAACATTATATTTATTTTGTAAAAGAGTTTCAATTGATTGAAACAAAGGAATTACAGCCATTAGCCGAATTAATTGAGAATCTAACCGGTCAAGATAAAATTTAATATTTCATATATTTATTTATTCTATATTGGGCGTCAATAATAATTATATTGTAATATAGCAATAATCATCATAATTAAATAAAATCATAAATCAATACAAATTATTACTATTGAAATACAATGTGGTAATGATATCATGATTCTTCTAAAGTACTTACCTATCACTTGTCTCTACTGAGACTTCTTGTATAAGATCTATGGCGTGAAGGTCGATATGAAGAAGAGGAGAATGATTTACCTCTACGGTAACTTGGTTCATATCGATCATAACTTCTTGATCTCGAGCGTGATCTGGAACGGGAATATGATATACGCCTACGCCTTCTATTACCACGATTATCACTTGGAACATCTAAATGTTTTTATAACATAGGAGAGTAGGTATCAGTAATATAAAGTCGTAAGGATAATAATGTAAGTTAAGAGAAATGTTATATTCTCACATCTATCAGCCCTCCAATCTCCGCCTCTTCTCTTAGGTGACCTTGATCTGCTCCTACTATATCTCCTTGACGGAGAAGTTCTTGATCTACTATAACTTCTATTCCTTCTACTACTTTTACCTCTATTCCTACTCGAACTCCTTTCCCTCTTACTTCTCTCTTTACTTTTACTACTTCTTGATTTCACTTCTCCTTCCTCCTCTTCCTCCTCTTGCTCTTCTTGTTCTGCAATATTTGCTTTGGGTGACTTCTTATTATTCTCTTTAGGCGACTCAGTAGCAGATTCATTGTCTGAAGATTTCTCTATCTTTAATCCATCATCCCCTTCCTCTTCATTCTCTTTTGTTTCTTCAGCTTCTTCTTCATCTGCGAGATCTTGTAAAACGCTTTCACGAGGCTCTAATTCTCCATTTTCTTCCAATACGTACCGCTTTAATATTCTAGGCAATATTGTATCACATGCTCTTTCTTCTCTTAACAACTCATCAATGAATTCATCCATACAAACAATTTCAAAGTCACCATCTATATTAATTGACTATTAAAGATCAAATAATTGATAACATGATTCGAAAGTTATTATCTATTATTACATACCGTTTGTTCTTTTTCTTAATTTTCTATAATCATTAAGCAAAGGTTCAAGAGTCTGATAAATTTCTAGTGAATTACCAACCAGTCTCAAATAAAATGCCCCAAGTGCTCTTAAATATTTATAATCCTCATTTCTAATGAATTCCAAAACAATTTCTTTACTTGGCTGTAATTGTAGTAATTTCAATGTCAAACAAAGAAATTCTGTTGGCCTTTGATTTCCATATTCTCCTCCAAATGATGTTAATTCTATTGCTTTATCAATCAACGTCTCGGCTAAAAAAAAAAAAAGAGTATGATTTTCAATATCATTATATTTAGGAGTTAAAATTTAATAAATATGAATCATACCCGTCAAACCGAAACAGAATTCTTTCCAGTAAAGTGATTCATAAATTCTAGTTCTAATGATCTTTTCTATTAAATATTGTGGATTTGTTCCATGTACGGCTATCGCATCTGATACTGTTCTATTCGCCATGATTTAAAATGAGAGTTAATAACAACTAAATGTCGAAGTGAATGATGGTGCAAAAAAAAAAAAAAGGTATGAATGCAAAAAAATTTAAACTCCATTCAACTTTTATGAATTTTAAATTTAACCAATCATTTTAAAACTATCAAGTCAACCACTGATCTTTAAACATGTGAGGTTGTTACACTAACATTTCATCATTTAAAAATTTCTCTTCTTCCTTTAATAATTTTTTTTTACATGAATGAATTGGTTTATAAAAAAAAAAAAAAAAAAATTATGTCTTTATATTTGAATATTTATATTCATAGACTTTCTAGGACATATAGGAACATTTGGTGGATACCCATCAGCAGATTGAGCAAAATTTTGAGTCCAATAATTATTCTTAAATCCAGAACCGAAATGCGTAAATTTTTTATTTAAAATATTTTCCCTATGACCTTTTGAATTCATCCATCTACAAAAGAAAAGGTAATAATGATTGATATACATACATATCATATTTATTATTTTTATTTTAAAGAGGAAAAAAAGGTAAAGTATTATTATTGATGCTTACGCTTTCATGACTTTAGTTGATTCTTTCTCCGTAAAGCCATATGCGATATTCTCGCCAGCCATCCACCAATCAAAACCTTGATCTGTTATTCGGGTACCTAATGGTCCGGCAATATCATCATGTGTTAAATTTTCGGTTAAAGCCATATAATCTGTATGAAGTTGTGCTGCTTTTATTAGCCGCCTTAAAAAACAAAACAAAACAAAAACGTTAAATAAAATGTGTGGGAAAATCATTTTTAATAATATCACAAATATTTACTCGTCGAGAGCCAAGGGTCTTGCTCTAACTTTCACACGTTCTCTATTAACTAAACAAAGTAAAGAAATCGTATTATGTAAAAAATTATTTGAGGGAGAATCTGATAATATTGGTAGGGAATCGACTTCAAGCGTTGTCATCAATCCGACAAGTATCAATGTTAAATATGCTATTCTCATTTTTAATATATCTTGGGCAGTTAGGTTGAAAAAAAAAGTTAAGAGGAAATCACAAATAGTTAATATTTATACAGGATACGCGAATTATTGACTTATTTGGAACCATGGCGTCTGTGAAGAATTATTATTTGTGTTTACTGAATACTTCATATACTATAGTGTAGAACTTTAACAAATTTAAAAATGCAAAAAAATTTTATTATATATAAAATTGAAAATTTAATCCATAAAATAAATAACCATGACCGTGCTTAAGAATCTTGGATTAGAATTTTAATATCTTCAATATTGATAAAGTAGCCGTTTATGACTAAATAATATAATTATATTATTTAGTCATAAACGGCTTAGATTAGGTTATTTAGTAATAAAATAATCTAGATATGACTAAATGATCTAAATAAATAATCTAATTAAATAACCTAATTGTAGTGATTTTTTATACCTATCTATTTTTTCTTATTATATTTCTTACCTTTGAAATCGGATTTCTTTTCTTGTTTCTTAATTATTATTTGTGATCATGTGATTAAATAATCTAATTATAATTATAACCAAATAACCTGAATATGTCTTTTTTATTATGTGCTGTATGTTAATAAATGCTTTCCGGTATAATTTATGCTGGTAGGGTTTCATGGCTGATTGGTTACTAAGTATATGGTGGTTTGTTTTCTGTTTTTAAGCTTTTTGATAGCTGGCCAGATACGTAATACCATGCTATTATTCTTGGTTGCCAGTATTGGGCCAGCTGATTTGGATGCTAGTTCTATATTAAGAATTTGCGCCTATTTGGTTACCTTTCTAGATACCAAAATGTGATAAAAAAATATCGCATTGGGTGGCACAGTAATTTGATATAAATCTGCGTCTAAATTTAGTCAGCACTATAACATAATTTCTGACTGATCTTTTAGGCACATGATTTAAGGAGGCGCCATGCTAATGACCTGGTAGTGCCCAAAACTCTCCTAAAACTATCATAAAACTGGTGTAAAACTGACAAAAAGCTAGTGTAATTTTATTAATTCACCAGTTTCAGACCACTTATATATCAATTTAGATACCAAATTATTATATCCAAAGTTCTAGCTAAAATTATGATGAAGAATAGTGCTAGTTAAAAATTTTTGTTAATTTTATTACGCCTTTAGTTTCTGACACTTTCTCACAACTTTCTCATTACTTTCACGCAACTTTCTTGTTGTTTTTGAGAGATATTTGAGCTTCAGTCTGATGTTTCAATTGGTAGAAAATTGGAGGTATAATGTGATAATACTAGCAATGCAGTTCTATCCCTTCCTAAGTATCTAATATATATCATATACATTCAAATACATACCTAAAAAAATGTAGTCTTCTTCCAATTTTTATATAATAGATTACGAAAAAGACTATACTTTTTCAAATATATTCACTTGCCTTTATTTTCGATTTGCTCTAATTTCACATCCCATAGTTAGAGATGTGATATGTATTATCATAGCCAGCCATTTATATTTTACCTGAATACATGTCTAGAAAGATAGGGCCTTCTTCCAATTTTTTATATAATAATTTTAAAGAAAGCTTCACTTTTAGATATATATCCGTTTTCATTTATTTACGATTTGTTAACTAAGTTTGCTATCACTTCTTTATTGCATCTATCAAGACATAAAATTTACACTAAAAAAGTCTCTATTATATCTGAATACATCTTAACATATTATTAAGGAGCTTTTGCTAATATTTATATAATAGATTACGCAGAAACCTCCACTTTCAGTTGTATATTTATTTGCCTTTCTTTTACGATTTGTTTACTGGATTTCTATGTCTCTTTTTACATCCACTGAAAAAAATAAATTAAATATTTCTGAATTTTATAAAGATAATATAACTTTTCAAACTATCATTATGTATACACCAACTATTTTTGACTAAACTGATCGCATCAGAACTGCCCGCTACAATAGCATCAGCCCTAATAAATATTTAAGTGACTCAAGCAGTTATACTGATAATAGATCTGACTTAGGGTCAAATGATTATAATGATTATGAGTCTAATTATGAGTCAGATAATGAAGAAGCTTCCTGTGCTTCAACCAGTACTATCAAAACTCTATTGGTTCAATCACTAAATATAAAAGAGCAAAAGATTAATGTGATATATACTTTAAGGCAGAAAAAGTTTAATGATAATTTTTCTTTCAAGGACTTGCTACCATTCGAGAAATTTTCCTATTATCATCTAGAGATATATCAGATAAAAAAAGGTTATTAGAATATCTTCTAATCTATTTATTTTTCTTTTCAAATAAAAAAGGATCTAGTTTATATAATATTATAACTGAAATGAAGTGAAAGATAAATTGGTTATCAAAATCGACCAAGATAGTGATTGAGTCTCAAAGTTTTCTATTGCAAATGATATTTCTAAAGTATATAGCTTACCTGAGATTCATAAATATATTAATAATCAAAATCCTTTAAAAGTCGTGATCGATATAGATACTTTATAAGAAGATATGAAAGCAAATGGTATTAAGGCACAAGAAATATTCATTCGAAACTGTTTATCTTTCATAAGAGCTTTGTATCGAATTCTTGATTGTAGCTGAAAAAATATTGTTACGTCAGTTTTTTTAGATCACGGGTAAATCACCTACAATATTACAGTTTAGCAGAAGGTTTTCTTCACACAGAAGAGTAAGAATAAAGATACGAGATAAGAAATTAAAGAGAATTACGATAAACTGGGTGAAATACATGCAAATAATTATTTAACAAATAAAAGACTAGTACTGCCTCTGTCAGCGCGTCTGTATTAAACAGTTTATTTATCAAAAGAATTATTCAAAGTAAGACAGTTCTCATCCTTTTTACATCGATAAATCATTCCTATTTATATAAAAATACTTACTAATAATGATAAAATAAATAAAATAAAGAAAATATATAAAATAAATATAATATATAAATAACATAAACTAAGTAAATAAAATAAATGATAAAAATGAAATAAATGTAATAAATGTCATAAATATCGTATGATGTAATAAAACCTATTTGTATAACAAAATTAGACTACCAAATTTAAGAAATAAGACATGTAAATCATTTAATTATTTAATTTAATTATAGTACTGCAAATCATTTTTAATATGATACGAAATTGATCATCCTTTCAGTCTTGTAGATCATTTTTGCACATTAAAAAAACTCTTTCCTCTCTCTTCAAAAAACCAAAAAAATGGGGAAAGAAAAAAACCAAAAAATTTCACAAAACAAT